AACAAGAGTTCATTTTTGCAAGTGTTGATTGCCTTATGCCTTCGAAGCTTCTTCTCCTGGAGTTCTTTCGAGTTCTTGTGAGGGAGATTCATCTTCACACTCCAATTTGCCTTTTCATCGTGACTAGGAGGATTGGTTAGGGCCATATTATCGTGTTTTCCTTTTCATTGCGACTGGGAGGACTCGATAGGACACTTATCCATCTATTTTCCACAAATCTATCCTCACCATCATCATCTTTATCGTTCACCTTCATAAGGGAGATCTTTTGATTTCTTGATTATCAAACTTTATTTTCAATTTCTTTATATTTTGTTTATCTTATTTCTTACCTTGTTTCCAAAACATAAAAGAAACCCTAAGAACCCTACTAGCTGCCGCCACCTTCCCCTATTCATTCCCCATTGTTCTTCATCAAGTCTAGAACTTTCTAGGTTTGATTATTCAACAAGAGCAACGTTCATTAACCCACCACCGCTTCCCTATCAATGGGTTTAGGGGTTGAAATAAATGTTTTCAAAGTTTTGGGGTTATTTTAAAATTTTGTATCTTTTTTTTAAAATATAAATATAATTTTTAAATTTTAATTAAAACTTTTAAAATTACATTCTTGTGACACATGTAACTTAATGGAGGAAATTAGCGTCGTTGACGGCCCAGACACCTAAAGTGGTAACATTTGTAAGTTAGGTAGCAAGATCATTCGAAAAATACTGTAGGCATCTATTCATTAAAAGTGTTATAATTTGGGCAATGTGGTAACATTTGTAAGTTAGGTAGCAGGATCATTCAAAAAATTGGTTGGTAAACTTACAAAAACAAATCTAATGTCGTTGTTTAAGTTGAATCAACTAGGTTTTTAATCAGTCGGTTGATGAGACTACAGTAATATTCGTTTTCCTAATCTTCATGTATTTCCTCATATTTTTTTCTCTTGTAAATATATGATGTTCCAATGATTACTACTAGCAACAAAACACCCGCAATGGTTGAAATCATTCGAACCATATTTCTTCTTCCACCGTTTCTGGGCAGCTTTGGAAGCTTAGATATATGAAGGCTTTGTGCTTCTCCACTTCTATTGAAGCCCCATCACATAATATAATAGCCACTACTAGTATTAGTATTTTTTTCCCTCCAGTTCCAAGGCTTTGCAATGACGAATTTAGACTGACTCGGATCACACACTTGGTTTTAGTGGGTGAGTCTCCGAGCGAGGATTTTCTACATACACAATGACTCGGACCTTTAAACTTTACTTAAATGATATCAAACTACTTACCACTTTAACCTCTCTTTTTAGTCGAACTATTTAATACCCTCTCTGGATGGCGAATCTTGATTGACTGACACTTACTACTAGTACTTTGAACTGAAGTTGTTGTACCGCAGAAACCAGCATGCATGGTATCCATTAAAATAGTAGAGATCAAACTACTTATCACTTTAACCTCTCTTTTTAGTCGAACTATTTAATACCCTCTTTGGATGGCGAATCTTGATTGACTGACACTAGGTTACTACTAGTACTTTGAACAGAAGTTGTTGTACCGCAGAAACTAGCATGCATGGTATCCATTAAAATAGTAGAGAGATCGATTTATGTCGACAAGAGAGACCAGTTCGGCTCAGGTCGTTCGTAGGCAGCAAATTGTGGTAGAAAATAGGGATAAATGGTTGGGGAAGATGAGTAAAAAAAAGTACAAAAGTAATATTAATAAAATATTATTTAATTAAAAATTTAATAAAAGTTACCATGTCACCATAGAATTAGAGAAAAAACAGCATAGTGACAAAAAAATCAATGAATAAAATTTTTAATTATTAAATTGAAAACTTTTAAAACACAAAGAATAAAATAGAGGGAGAGTAAAATTTAGTGATTAAATTTGTAGTTTAACTTTTTTTTAACAATAACCAATTGTGGGTTTTTTTTTGGCCTAATACTCCAAGTGAGTAAAACATTTAGGGTATTGGACTTATCCCAATTTTATTTAGCAAACTACGGCATTTGCTATAGTCCGCATGGAACTCATCACCTCGAGGTGATGGTTTACTCGGATATTATTTTTTTAATGATCCCCGCGTAATGAGCCCCACATGGACCATTATTTAATTAGAATTATAATGACTCGTCACACTGAGGTGACAAGTCCATTAAAAAATATTTTTTAAAATTTAAAAAAATTATAAAATAAAAAAATTTCGATGGAAATCGTCACGTTGAGGTGACGATTTCCTTCTAATTTAAAAAAGTAGTCGTTTTTCAACGGGAAGAGGGGCAGCAACGGTCGATAGAACTCGTTCCTCGAGGTGACGAGTTCGGCCGAACATTTTGAAACACTAGTCGTTTATGGCCATTGGGGGTAATGCTATAAATAGGGGTTTGGGATTTTTGTATTTCACCCAACCCTAAATCTAGAAAAAATTTGAAAAAAACATACGTTGTGCGAAAATCTCAAAAAATGGCAACCCGAGAATATATGTTACACCTGGATAACATCCATGTTTCGTCGATCCAACACAGTCAAGATGACGAATGGAGTATTCGTAGTCGGGGGATGACAACTAAAGAGCTGCATCAGTGGATGATGGTATATCTGCATCAATCCGGTTTATTTTCGGCCATATTTTTACTTGGCTTCAAGGTGTACCCAGCATTGATCGAGTCTCTGATCAAACGTTGGCACCTCGACACGCACACGTTCCATTTGCCGAGTGGTGAACTGACGATTACTTTGGAAGACGTCACTTACCAACTCGGTATTCCAGTGAATGGAGCCTTCGTCGTGAGTCATAACGTTTACTACCCCGCGATATTGATCCTCCAAGTCTTGGGAAATGGCCACCATCCGACTTCATGAGGGGCTATCGGGTAATGATAACGTGACTAGAGACTGAATTCCAAGTCCCGGACGAGTCTCTTGAGGCAGAGGTTGTTTTCGCGTCCGGAGCATTTCTTCTCCAAGTGATCGAAGGGATATTGTTACCAGAAAAATCTGGTAATTTGGTGCACACCCAGTATCTATGATATTTGGAAGACTTCAATGTGTGCCGGAATACCAGTTGGGGCTCCGCGATTTTGGCCTTCCTTTATTGGGAGCTTTGTAAGGTTCAACTGTCCAGCGTGGTCGAAAAGTTGATGTAACAGGTTGTCTATTACTTCTACACTCCTCAGCATGGTATCGCTTGCCTTTTTGACACCGATTACAAACGCCCTAGTCAAGTTTACATTGTCTGCAAGGCAATTGTTTAACTTCATTTATTTAACCTTTTTTTTAATCTCAAAATTTATTTATATTTCTATTTGTTCATAATATTTTTATTTTTAAATATTTTAGATGGTTTCATAAAATAACGGAGACGAAGTTGGCAGGTGCGATGCACTAGACATACGGATGAGGATCAACATCGTCGGTCAAATTACGGTATGACATACGATATTTTTATTATTAGTTTTGAATCTTTTCAAATTTATATATACTAATTAGTATATATTTTTTTCAAAGTTATAATTTTGATATTTAATATTTACAAGTTATCTTGGCTTCAATAGGTTGACGAGGATATCAACCGCGTATTGTCAGCACGATTTTTAGAGGGGTCCCATTTATGGTGTGTTGTGACGACGTTATTGCACCAAGCGATTGTTGAGTGGCACACGGATGATAGAGTAATGCGCCAGTTTTCGACGCACCAGTCGATTCCTACGGAAATAGAGGTTGATATGGACGCACTCCATACAATCGATACATGTGGGAAACATGATGAAAATTGGTCGGCGTGACATGCTTACTACAACAACTTATGGAATCAGTGTGAACTATCACTCTCCCATTGTCAGGACATTACACCACTGGACTTAGATTTCGACCATTCCCAGTATCTCCCGATTTACGAACAAAATGGCAAACCATATCTCATGACACCTAAAGAGAGGGCAGAATGGCAACAACATCAGGCTATACGTACCAAGTCCAAGTCCAAGAAGAAAGCATCGTCATCGTCGTCTTCTGCTTTAGCATTTGCGGTATAAGAGTACTATTACGCATCACAGGCTAGTTTCAGTTTCAATCCTCCCTTTCATACTCAGTTGAGACTCGGACGAATTGAGTTGGAGGTTCATGGGATGCACCATAGTACACTCAAGCATCTTTGATAGAATATACGGTTGCGGGTGAGTGGGATCATATCCTATATGGTCACCAAAGCCAAGTCAAAGCAGTTACGACGATGATGGCATCAAATGTCATAATCCATTACCATCTTTCGAAGGTGGATTGCAAAGTGTGTTAAGTATGCCTCTTCAGCAAGACGACGACGATCAAGGCCTACGACCCCGACATACTCGATGAGCCCTGCGACATTACCATTCAACCACTCAGCGACATCGTTAAGAACTTAGAAGACATAGATAAATTGATTTTTACTTCGTAATTTTCGTGTAAAAAATTATTTTTTACATTTATTTATTTACTTTATATTTCATAAAATTTAAATAAATTGATTTTTTCTTGTAATTTAATTTTTTTAAATTATCCTCAGCCAAACTCGTCACTTTTAGGGGACGAGTTTCTTTGGCCGTTGTTGCTCGTTGCATAACGTCTAGCCAACGGCTACATTTTTTTAATTCGAAGGAACACGTTTTCTCGACTTGACGAGTCCCATAGATTTTTTATTTTATAAATTTTATTTAAAAAAATTTAAAAAAAATAATTTACTCGTCACCTCGACGTGACGAGTCATTATAACCCAATTAAATAATGACCCACGTAAGGCCAACTACACTGGACTATTAAAAAATAATATCCGAGGCAACTCGTAGTTTGCTAAATAAAATTTGGGTAGGTCTAATACCCTAAATTTTTTACCCGCCTGGGGTATTGGGCCAAAAAAAAACCCGACCATTCCATCAAAAAGGTTATGACCCAATCCGACTTGGCCCGATTGATACTATTTCGGATCATCTTTGAACCTCAACCTTATCGCTTCTTCTGTCTAATAACTGGTGATAAAAGAGTTTCAGCGGGGGCAACCATGGTCGAGCTTCTAAATCAGAAACAACTTTAACTTAAAAATAGGATTGTGAGTTATCGTTTCCCCATATCTAGACGACCTTAACAAGCACCTGAGGGGAGGAAAAAGTGAAGTAGGCGAAGACTCAAGTGAATGGCAACTTTGGCACTGTCATCTTTATCCTGCCCTTGCAAGGTATACATGTTTTCTGTTGCTCATATCATGAAAAAAAAATTGCTTTCGTTTACCTTTATTTATCGCTCTATGTTGTGGGAATTCCAAGCTTTTGATTAGATAATACAATTCGCATATGGTTTTGCAGATTGACCGTGGCAATGAAAAATCCTCCTCGTTGACACCAACCCAAGCTTTAAAACCACCATCCATGAAAACTTGGCAATTCCCACTTAACCCCGAAAATCAAATTGGGTCATTGCAGTTGGTACCCCTATATGCCACATTGAATAGCCCAAAAGGGTTTGGACCACCACCCAAGAAGAACAAAAGGACAAAGAGTGGCGATGAAAAAGACGAAGGTGAAGAGGAATTCGAAGAGGCTGAGGCAGGCGTGATACCCGAGGTGGTAACAAACCGGATGATAAGCCGAATGGGATTATCGGTTGGGATTCCATTGTTTATAGGGCTGTTGTTTTTCCCGTTCTTTTATTATCTCAAGGTTGGGTTGAAAATCGATGTTCCAACGTGGGTGCCGTTTATTGTTTCCTTCTTCTTCTTTGGGACGGCTTTGTTAGGGGTAAGTTATGGCATCGTGTCATCTAGTTGGGATCCCATGAGAGAAGGGTCACTCTTGGGATGGAATGAGGCTCAGAAGAACTGGCCTGTGTTTTGGCAATCCATTTGGGGTGGATCGCGTAAGAAGTAGGACGTTTCTTCATGCTTATATACTGCTATTTTCGTCTCAAGTTGCCTTATTAATTCATGTTTTACTTTGCTTTTTTTTTTCTTCCCTTGGTGTTTTCACTCTTCTTTTTTGCTCACCACATGCTTTTATTTGAATCCCGATCTGAAGGGAGTTGGTTTTTATTAGTTAAAATCATAAATAGCTATATAGATTGTGTTAAAGACTAATTGTTGTTTACATCCTGTACAAATGAGTTAATGGACAGGGAACAAAAACATTAAAGGTTGATTAATGTTTTTGAAAAGTTATATAGATAGACTAAAGGAGGGAGGGGCTGTTCCTAGTCCTAATCCAACCTCTAAAAGGTAGGGATGGGTACTTCTATTTTTAATAAAACCTAAAATTTAATGTTTATTCTACAACTTTAAAAAAGTTGAATAATTAAAAAGATCATTTATCATAGATTGATGATATTTTTAATTTTATATTATTTTTAATTTAATCAATAGTATGTTTCGAGATGTCACTTTAATAGTATGTTTTAGTAAAGCATGTTTTAGTGTGGTATGTTAACCGTAGAAATTTTTTCCTATTAATGATATTATGAGTATCTTTCTTATCTGTTGGCATCAGCAGCAAAAAAGCTGAAGGTCAAATTTGCATTCGCAACGGTATCTGACTCCATGATCACCGGCGTATTTTAAGTTAAAATATTGCTTCACCCCGACTGGATTGGGGATGAGGACACGATTCTAATAGACGAATTTCGATCCAATTCAATCTTATCGGATTAAATTTTTTCTTAAAGTAATTCAAGTTTGAGTCAAATTTTTAAATGATATGTTATAGTTGGATCAGATTCAAGTTTAGAGAAAAATATTTGATAACTCGATCTTAAAAATAATGTAATTATATACTATATTTAAGTATAATTAAAATAATAACTCTATTATTTTTTCAATTAGATTCTTAATTTTATCAAATACAATTAATATATTTATACAATTTTTTTAAATCTGATTGAACTAGATTCAAATTTTATGTCAAAAGTGTAGATTGAGTTTAGATCGAGGGAAACCACCCTAGATCCGAGTTAGGTTAAATTTCAGGTGGAGGGTACACATTTTTTGAGTCGAATCGAGTTAACCAAATACCCGACGCATGCTCATCCCTACGCTGGATGATCAAGAATACTCCAAGCACTTGCTCCACTTAAAAATACGGTTTGGGGTTTAGGGAAAAACACAACAGCTCACATTTCATTCTCAACATCGATGTGAAGAAACAAACCATATTTATTGTAGGGTTAACGCAAAACCACTCAAACCAAACCATGTATTGAATGGGATGCCTCATTTTATTTATTTATTATAAAACATAAAATAAGCTATGACGTGGAGCGAACCAACCATCTCATCCCGCTACTTTTCTAGTGCCAGACTGTATTTGTTGGGTTGGCCTAAGAAACATGTCCTTATATTCTGCAGTCCACTGCACCCCAGCCTTCATAGGTGGCGGCAGTATTTGCCCAACATACTCGCTACATTCCCCAATCGTAACATTTCCCAACTTCTCTGCAACATCTGAGGTCGCTCCATCACCCTTCTTATCCTTGCTCATGGATACTACTGCCAAACCACCGATATTTTTCAAGTCAATTACATAATATCAAACAAGACTGATGCTACAATAGGCTCCCTGAAAATTTTCAAAGTCGATTCATTTTCACAAATCAAAACCGGTAAGCATACCGGAAATGAACTACTTCTCTATTGACAGACATTTTATATTATACTGCGCAACCGACTGATAAAATGAGTGAAGATCTAAAAAGAAACAATTTAAATAGAACCCAAACAAAAAAACATACTCGGAGCCGTTCTTCCTTGTGGCCAATATCTGGGTTGTTTGGTAAAGTTCTTCAAGGATTTATCATTCTTTCTCGGATCCTACAGAGGGCAAAGAAAATCATATTTAGTAGCAATAGAAAAGAAATTAATATTAGACGAGAAGAAAAATTATGACAAAACGATGATTACCTGATTCAGCATCTCCGGTTTGCGTTGCATACCTACAAGAGTCGGTCAAATTAGCAAAATTAACAACATTTACAGTTGCCCGTCTAGCTCAATTGGTACGAGCGCAAGGCTCTTAATTTTATGGTCGTGGGATCGAGTCTCACGGTGGGCAATTCATAATTTTGACTGTTGGAGATCTACCACGGAAGCTGCTCTCAACTTGGCGTTAGGGGCAGCCTACTATCCTACCTCCCCTTATCCCATTACATATGGGAATAAGGTCAGCTACAGAATATCTCCTAACTTGTCGCTGTTCCAATGATCCTCTAACCCTAGCTACAAGCATGCAAAATAGGATATTAGCCACAAATGAATCGAAATAACACATCCCCTCTAAAATATCAGTAGCAACAGCACATGCTAAAATAACTTGGAACTTGTACTACAAAGTTACAATCTGTGCAAGAATGCATCGAGAGGAAGACCTGTGGGAATATAGCCCTTGCAAGATCAAGCCCATCAAGCCAGGATTCCTTAGTTGGAGTACCTATTACACTACAGATTTTGTAGATTTCATCTGCTTCACTGCAACAATAATGAAGGGCTAGCATCAATTAAATGAATAGACACACAACTACCCATACTTGCCAAACAAATAAGAAGTGATAATTAGATATCATCACAAGAACACACCTGGTTCCAGGAAAAAGAGGACGTAAGGTTAATAACTCAGCAATGATTGCACCCATCGCCCATATATCTGTAATAAATAAGTAAGGGAAAAACATAGTTAAAAGGGCTGACGCTAATTCTGTCTTAAGTGAATCCCTATTGAAAGTGCACAGAAAACTTGCCAACTTTTGAAGTATATAGGTATGATTGAAGAATTACATCAGGGGCACGATACCTACAATACAAGGAACTCAAGGCACAGACAAGTTGCAGCAAATATACATGCAGGCATGCACACACACACACAAATATATACACACAAGGAAAAACGATTAAAATACAAAAAATTCTGAATGTACCAAACCTACCAGCGTGTTGAGACATACACCGTCTATGGTGGGTGTGAATTAATTTCACGTGCAAGACCAAAATCAGCAATTTCGATTATACCTTTACTAACCAACAAATTCTCTACAAAGAAAAAGGCAGTCAGTTACAGAATATTTCAATTCTATCCAATTTAATTTCAAAATCCCTAATTTTTCAAAATTAAAGTCATGACCGTTTTTAAAATAATATTTAATTGTTCAACCTCGAAAAATGGTTATGACAGTTTGGCGACTCTGTTAGGGACAGGTAAGTGAGTCAGGCCATAATAAGTTTAAACTGGAGTCCCATAATTAATTCGTTCATTTCTCGCCTGTGCATGTTGTTTTTCTTGAGATTTGGTTCAAATAACCCAAAACGTGGGTTGCGTCGATGACCGGAGGGGGAAGAGTTCGAAATCTATTTTTTTATATCTACACCCCTACGAGGCTAGTTTTGAAAAAAGGTTTGGATTTTTTGACTTAGGGCTTTCGAATGATAAAAAAATTGTGATTTTTGTCGCTGATGACCGGCGGCCGACGCCGATCAAAGGCGGCCGGCGAGACTGCGTTGATGGCCGGATTCTGGGTTCATCAAGAACCCAGGCATTTGTTCTTAAATCCAAAGAACACTTGAGAGAATTCTTTAATGGGGGAGGGATTTTTGGTGTTTTGGAATGAAAAATGAAGATTTTAGAAAAAAATTTGGGTTAAATAGTCGACCCGTTGGCCTAGCGGTGACCTGCGCTTTGACCCGACCCGAGGGGAGGATCCGTGCGTTTTCGTGTATTTAAGGGGAAATTCGTTTTTGGTCCCCCTTCTTTTTTAACATTTTATTTTGATCCCGAATTTTGCTTCTGCACCAATTTCCTTTTTTAATTTGACCTTTTAATTTTGATTTTATTCTAAATTAGCCCTTTTTTATTATCATTATATATGTCATATTTGTTTACTATATATATATTATTTTTATTTTTTATTATCTTTTATATTTTTGGACTTAAGACCAAGGTAGCCGAGTAATGCATGTCACAACCATATGATGTAACATCTCTTTCTTTTAATGTCTTTGTAGTAATTTCCATGACTTCTAATTTATATACGTTTATATCTATATACAAAGATTTTTTACGCAGGGATTACTTCCCATTATAGACGCGCATATAAAGACTGCATATGAAGAATGTTAAACTATGTATTTATTTATTTATTTATACATGCATTGCATTCTATCTTTATTTTTAATTTTCTGACTGTCGGAGATCTTCTACGGAAGCTGCTCTCAACCTGGAGTTGGAGGCAGCCTACTACCCTACCTCCTGTTATCCCATTTCATATGAGAATAGGGTTTTGTTGTTGTTGTTGTTGTTGTATATTTTTGGACTTTTTCCTGATTTATTATTTTTATATATTTTTTCCCTCATATTTTTAGATATTTTATTTATGTATATATATATACACATATTTTATTTTTATTTATTTATTTGTTTTACTAATATCCTATATATATATATATTTATTTTTATTATCATTATTTTTTCCTTTTTTATTTAAATACCGTTATATATATATTGTTAGTGTTTTTTACTATTTATTTATTTATTTATTTATATTAAGTACTATATTATATATATATATATTTTATCTAATAAATTTTTATCTCACTTTTTTTTTCTTCGTATGCCATCATGTCCCCTCTTTTTGACAAAATATTTTTTTGTGCATTAATATAGTGGGGGCCCCATTATTTTGTTTTCTTCCTTATTTTCTTTCTTTTCCTTTTGTTTATTTTTTTTCTTCACATTATATATATACATGTTATTTTTATTCATTTTTTAATTGTTTTTTTACTTTTTTCGTGTTTTATTTTTTATTCCATTAATTTTCCCCTTTATCATTATCTTTGTTTTTTACCATTTTATTTATTTTATTTATTTTTTTATTAATATTTTTTACTTGTTCTATTATTTTTCTTTTTTCTTGTTTTGTTTATTATTTTCATATTTGTGCACTTGCTATCTTAATTCGATTTTATACTCCACTACGAATCTAACATTTTTATCTTTTAAGAATATTTCAATTAATTAGAGGTAAGTAACTTGGATCGTATTTTTACCTTATAGTTTAAATTACAATTTCCTTAATTTAAGACAACTGGAAATTACGTAGTACCGAAAGGGCAGTTTAAGAGTGTTAACTCTTCCTTGACTGTAACCGACTACCGAATCCGACACATCTTTGGTAAGACGCAGATCAGGTAAGAAATAATGTATCCGATCAACCCATTTGTTTTAAAACAAATTATCGGTGGCGACTCCAAATCATTTTTCCCAAGTCAAAGCCCAATTTGCTGTCATAAACATTTTTAGGTGGAACAATTAAATGTTATTTTTAAAAAACAGTCACGACTTTAATTTTGAAAAATTAGGATTTTGAAATTAAGTTGAATAGAATTGAAAAAGAGTCGTCATCGACCTTTAGATTAGGTAGGTCGAATACCTAAAAACATCTTTTAAAAACTATTTTAAGAAAAATCATTTTTAAGACAAAAATTGGTCTGCGTTCACAAAGATTCGATTAAAACAGGTTCGTGAGTCTGTTACAGTTAAGAAAGGATTAGCACTCTTGAACTGCCTTTTTGGTACCATTTAATTTTTCGGTTGTTTTAATTGCGAAATTTTAAATTGAAATTTAAATTTAAAAATTCAATTCGAATTAGTTACCTTTTATCGATTGAAGTTACTATTGAAAAAGTCAAAAATGTTAGATACTAAAAAAATTTAAAAGGTAAAATTAAGATAAAAATAATAGTAATAATAATAGTAAGGGATGAAAATAAAATTATTATAAAATTAAAAGACCAAAATAAAAGAAAATAATTTAAATTAGTGACCAAAATAAAACATGCATAAATTCCTAGGCCATATTCGAATAAAACATAAATTAGGGATTAAAATGTAACCATAATAAAATTTGAAATCCAAATTAAAATGCTGAAAATTAAATTTGGTGACTAAAATGTAAAAATTACAAATTACAGGAACTGCGGACGAGGTTTGACCATTTTTGAAATAACACAAAGGTCCTTCCCCAAAACAACGTATCCAAAACTATTTATATCCCATAACATGCCTAAATGCCTCCCCATCTCTCATTTTTCATTTTTTGCTTCTTTTTCTAAGAGAGAACTCTCTAACTCCCTCACCGGAGGGAAACCGGCCAACGGCCTGCCACCGTGTAACAACCAGGATATACCCACCTTTGTATATTTAACAAATTCCTTGTTTATGTCCATTTCCTGGAAGCGTTTCCTAAAACTACGCAATATTTGTTACCAAGGTCTGTGTCAGATCATAATGCCATTTTTCTTGAGAATGTGGGAGTTAGTTGGGGCAAAAAACCATTCAGACTTTTTAATTATTTGATGGATGAGGAATGCTTTCAGAATTTAGTTGATTATATTGTTCAAGAATGTAAGATTACACAGAAGAGAGCTGGAATTCTATCTATCCTGAAAACAACTAAACTGGCGATCAAGAAATGGGCGGGTAAGAGAGACCAATTTCCAGCTGTAGAGATTGCCAAATTATAAAGGAAAATTCACTTGGCAGAGGAAAAATTCCAGCAGTTGCAAGATTTAAATGGTAGTGAAAAAGGAGCAGAATTGACTACTATGAGATCAGAATTATGGAGGCTTTATAAAATTGAAGAACATATATGGTTTCAAAAATCGAGATCAAAATGAGTGGAAGGGATCGTAATACAAGATTTTTTTACACATGTGCTTCAGTTAGGAGGAAAAGGAATTTCATGAGTGCTCTGAATGTCAATGGTGAGATTACTCGAGATCCGGCTATCATCAAAGCTAGTGTTAAGGACCATTTTTTTGAATTTTTAACACAAGATCTACCTTGGAAGTTGAAGATACGAAGCTGAATTTTTCCAGAGTTTCAGTGGAGCATAGTGTTATTTTGGAAAAAGAATTTACGAAGGAAGAAATTTGGGAGACTTTACAATCATGTGATAGCAACAAAGCTCCCGGGCCGGATGGTTTAAATATGGGTTTTTTCAAGAGATTTTGGTCTGTCCTAAAGGTCGATATTCTGAAATTCTTTCATAACTTTTATATGGGGAAAAATTGGGAACATTGAGTTAATCATACATTCATTACTCTTATTCCCAAGGTGTCTAATATTGGTAGATTAGATGATTATAGACCTATAAGTTTTGTAGGAGGGTTGTACAAGATCCTTTCAGAATGCCTTTCGACGAGACTAAGGAATTGTATTACTGATTTGATAAGCCCTACGCAGTTTGCCTTCATTCCAGGCCGTCAAATTTTGGATTGCTCTCTTATAGCAAATGAGGCGGTTGACTTTTGGAGGAAAAAATGACTTAAAGGTTGTGTGTTTAAAGTGGATTTTATGAAGGCTTATGATATTGTGGATTGGTCTATTCTTTTTTAGGTTATGGAGAAAATGGGATTCAACATCAAATGGAGGAGTTGGATTAGACAATGTGTAACAACAACTTCAATTTTAGTTTTGATTAATGGGGTCCCTTCTAAAGAATTTCCTATGGCAAGGGGTCTTCGTTAGGGTTGTTTTATGTCTCCTTTGCTTTTCAACTTAGTTGGGGAACTTCTAAATTTACTACTTTTAAAGGTGAGGGACTGTTTTGTGGACGTAGATTGGGAGGAATGAGATTGTTATTAATTTATCACATCTACAATTTAAAGATGACCTAATTATTTTCTGTGGGGCTTTGAATAAACAGATTTCAAATGTTAAGAGGTTGCGAGTGTTTGAAGTCATACCTGGTCTTCAATTGAATCTAAAGAAAAGCAAATTATTTGTTGTTAATACGGCTCCAAAGGAGGTTGCGGAGTGGGCGTCGACAATTGGTTGTGCAGTTGGGAATTTTCCTTATGACTATCTAGGTCTGCCTCTTGGTGCAACACGGAATTCTTCCTCTCTTTGGGATCCGGTTATTTTAAAATTTTACAAGAAACTTGCAGGTTGTAAAGCTGCCACTCTTTCATTGGCAGGGAGGTTAGTCTTGAATAAATCGGTTCTTTGTTCACTTCCAACTTACTACTTCTCTCTTTTTAAAATTTCCTCCTTGGTTAATTCAAAACTCAATTCCATTATGTCTAAATTCTTATGGGGAGGTGGAATGGAGAGAAATAAGATTAATTGGGTTAGTTAGCCCAATGTGTGCAAATCTAAGGATGAAGGAGGTTTGGGAGTGTTAAATATTATTAATATGAACAGAGCCCTTCTGGGAAAATGGTCTTGGAGGTTTGCTAATGATAGGAATGTTGTTTGGAGGAGGTTAATATGCTCTAAATACAATCTTGATCCTTATTCATAAATGTTCAATAGCAAAATTCCAGCTCAAGCATCCTGGATTTGGAGTTCAATGGTTAATTCTCATTTTAAAGAAGACTCATTTGGCTCAAAGTTCCATAGTATGTGCAGAATTCAAGTTGGTAGTGGTCAGTGTATTTGGTTTTGTCAGGACCATTGGGCAATGGACTGCCTTCTTAAGGTCTTTTTCCGAGGTTGTTTGCTATTTCCTCAAATCATAGTGGCAAATTAATTGAATTTGGCGAGTTTAGTTCTTTGGGATGGATTTGGAATATTCAGTTGAGGAGTAGTTTGATAGATTGGGAATTTGAACAGTGGGCTAAATTATTTCTGTCTAAAGAGGCCATCGATGGTCTGATCTGGAAAGGAAACGGGGCTGGTGTTTATTCTGTAAATTCATGAGTGAAGATTTGTTCCTTGGCTTCCCAAAAGAATTCTTTTTGGAAGAAAATTTTGTGGAAAGGATTTGTGCCACCAAGAGTTGAGTTTTTTATGTGGTAGGTGGTTCTAAAAAAGTTGCCAGTGAGGACTGAACTGGTTAAAAGAGGGGTTACGGGTATTGTAGATCTTTCTTGTCCTCTATGTAATTTGGTTAATGAATCTTCTTCTCATTTATTTTTCTCTTGTTCTGTCGTGTGATCACTTTGGAACAAATTTGTGCAGTGTTGGAGTATTAGTTCGGTTTTTCAAGAAAATGTGTAGAACTTCCTCCTAGCTTGGGAAGAACTAAATTCTAGTTCTGCTATTTGGAACTTTATTCTGGTTGTTGTTATTTGGACTGTTTGGAAAGTTAGAAATGATATTGTCTTTGAAAGAGGGAAGTTAGACCAGACTAACTTATTTTTCTTAGCAAGGGTGAGGCTTGCATCTTGGTTCTTAGCTAAGTTTGCAGACTCTGTTATTTCTATGGATTCTCTTATCAGTGACTCGTCCCTTGGGGATTTATGTTTCCCTCTTAACAAATCGATTGTCTCTACGATCCCTTGGTCCCCCCATCCTAAGGGCTTTGTCAAATTGAATGTGGATGCAGCTACCAGTTCTGATTGGAAGAGCAGTGGAATTGCGGGTATTCTTAGAGACGACGAAGGTCTTCTTTTAGGCTCTTTTAAAGAGGCTACGGGTCCGGGTCCACCTACTTTGATGGAGTTAAAGGCTGTTCAAAAGGGATTATATTTCTTTGATTCAGTGAGAGGAGGTATTAAGGGTCGGTTGATTATAGAATCAAATAGTAAAATGGTAGTGGAATAGGTTAAGAATGGACCTTTGTGTCCTGATCTATATGCCTTTATTGTCAGGGATAAAGAATTGGAGGGTGTTATTAGATGGGTTGCTAGAACAACAAATATAGAAGCTGATGGGTTGGCTAAGTCTGGTATTGGCTAATTTCAGTGTGTTTTAAGGGTATTTTATTTTGGGTTCTTAGGATTGTTTGTAAGGGTTTTATCTTGATGCTGTAAATCTTATGTATCTTTTATTAATGAAGTATAAGGCACTCTTTTCCTCCTTCCTCTGATTAAAGAATTCATTCTGAATTCCTTAATCATAAAGGGGGTTTTTAATGAGGCCTTCAATTCCTATAAAAAAAATAGAATACATGGCTTTAGGTCGTGATGAAAAAATCCACGCTAGTACATGTATGCAAGACCTTGAAAGACTTGAAAACACCAATGTCTGATTTCAACTTCAGAAAAAGGCTTTTCCATGTCTTTCATAAGTTGTTAAAGGCTGCATTCCTGGAAAATTTTCATTTTTCAGCAAAACCCCATTAATTAAGAACACAAATAAAAACTGGCCCTTACCATATATTCAAACACAAAGAATAAAATGCCATTTTCCCTGATGACTTCCTTAAGCTTCCCAATATTTGGTTGATTCATTCTCTACAATGACTGTTAAAAGAAACAGACAATCAGGCATGTGAAATAAAATAACTACAAGCAAAACAAGAATAAAGCAACTCATATTACCTTAACTTCTCTCAGATTCACACACTCTTCCCATGAGTAATATTTCTTCTTCATTTTCTTAATTGCAACCTTCAAAACATATAATATTTATTTGTAAAGGATATTTCAATATCAGCATAACAGATAGGGAATAGTCTTAAAACTTCAAGTAGTTAAAATCCAAGGCATACTAACAATTTCCCCAGACTGCTTATGAATAGCATGCCACACCCTTCCAAAAGTTCCAACTTTCTTAATTAACTTGCTCCTAACATCATCCCAAGAATTTTTTTTTTTTTGATAGGAATAGAAGGCCTCATTAAAAACCTCCCTCATAGTTGCCTCTTGTAAAGAGACAACTAGCGGAAGGAGGAAAAGAGTGCCTAAATTTATTAATAACCCATAATTACATAAGATTCCAAACAATACATAAAATTACCTAACATAGAACCATAACCAAAATAATACACCATAACCACTACTCATAACAACAACCTCCTCACTCACTAACCAATTCCTGACTTAGCTAGACAATCAGCTTCCACATTAGAACATCTGTTGATATGCTTAATTATAACATTAGACTGCACAACATCATCCCAAGAATTGATAAGCATAAATCATTATGCAGAAAATAAATACTGTCTAGCAAATCCTGTTTTAAACAACTTACCTCTCCATTTTTGTGGAACAAAAAGTAGCCCTTTATTGAGGAGATTTATAAGAAACAAAGATAGACATGTAACAGTTATCTTCAGTAGAAGATTGATGGTATTAAACTATAAGACAAAAAAAAAATTGCTTTGGAGATCAGATAAATCCACCATTAATTTCCACTGGAAACATGGAATGACATAAACCGGAACTTTTATGGTGGATGAGCTTCAAAGCCTTATTTGGTACTAAACCCGCAACTTCAAGACCAAAAGAAGGCATCAACAATAGGAATGGATGAGCTTTAAAAAACATACTGATACAGCCAGAAGGAAGGATTCCAAGATCAAGATACAATCACTTGGTTCAAAGTCTTAATTGCGGTTAACTCATGTATTCTAAATAGAAACATTTGCAGAAGGCCCCTCAGAAACCAGGTACCCATCAGGAGCAACAACAAAACATTAACTACCAATGCCAATGCTTAGCAAGCAACTTTCAATAATCCACTACAAGCCCTGTGATAATAAAATAGGAAAAATATATATACTAAATTTTAGAAAAGGGAGAAGTAGTTAACAGATGCGAGAAAATATAATAATGAAAATATATTATGTACCTGGAAGGCGTTTTCTCATGACTGGATGTTGTATCAACAGTGCACTAAAATTCATTACAACTCACGTTTTGAGTACTAAAAAGAGGTTGGGCACTAAGTGCAATTACCAAAGGAAACCAAAAGAGAAGCTCCATGGACAATAAACAGCCAGTCAAGTACTTCTTGGAATAAAAAGACCCGGAAGTGGTTGCAATTTGACCAGAAGTAGACTTTCGCCATGTCTTGAAAAGGAAATTAAATTCCTTTAAATCCAAATCCGGTATAATCTAACATTAAAATAGCATCAAATGAAGCTTGATTCGCCGTGGGACTTACATGAGCCCATAACCTAATATGACGTGATTTAAGCATATGAGATGGAACTGGGTATAAAACGTGATACAATATACATCTTAGAAAACCGAAATCTCAAGAAAGTAGCAGAGGCTATCATATGCAAGCAATATTCAATAAAAGTGCACAACTGGCGTCCAGCCAGCGACTCATCATATCACGAGGGAAAAAAAATCAATGCCTGATAATAGGTAAAAATCAATTCATATTCCCTATAAATAAACCAAACAAACGCCATATGAGACAATTGGACAAACAAACGAGATAGAAATATCAACAATCCAATTAACGAAATAAGTCAATAAATACTATGAAACTTTGTGACAAATCAGAAAATCATATCCTAATAGATTAAATTAAAAAAATAAAAAAAAATAGATCCAATTCAAGGGGGAAACCCCACTAATCTAAACCTAAACAGAAATTTACAAATAAGAAGTTAAACCTGATCAGATCAGACCTAAGTGGAAACAAATGTAATTACCTGGGAACCAACCGGCATGAGAACCGTTGGCAAGGCAGGGAAGAGGTGGAATCCAGAGCTGCGCTATTTCTGTCTCTCGTGAAAAGTAAAAAGAAAATGATTTGCGAGCGTGTTTGGAATAAAGAAGCCAAATGCCTAATTTATTGTGGTGGGTTTGAGTTGACGACTTGAGTGAGAATCGGGAGTTCCTTTCTTGTGAACCTTGAAATCGCTTAATTTTTGGGTTTATTTTTATTTCTCTCCATTTATAGTGGCCCGACCGGACCGGTAGTTCACTATATTATTATGCTACGATCTGGAGTTGGATGGATATCGTCATCATTTCTTATCTCCTTTAATTCTTTTTTGTTATTTTGATTTGGGACAACTAACGGCTACGTCTCATATGCTTATTCCTTTTCCATAAATAAAATTACTTTCTAAAATTTGACTGATTTAATTAATTAATTTTCTATAATTATAAACTATTTGCTTTCCAATAATAATAGAAGCTTGTTTTATTATTTGGTATGTACTTTGACAAATTGTACAAGGTGGGATATATCCTTTTAAAATATTTTGTTTCGTATTTATATTTTGATATAATGTTCAATACTTTTAATATCTAAACTTTAATAATAATATATTTGTAATTTTAAAATTCTAATGTGATATATATACTTTAACAAAATATTCAAAATAATACTTGTTATCTCCTGAGGTTCTAGATTTGAACACCGCATATACTAGAGATATGAGTGTTTATTGACAAATGATTGAAAGTTTTTGAACATATATTGTATTGTATACACCTATATTATTACAGTACTTGGGATTGATATCATTAGTGTCAAATCAATTAAAAATTTAACAAATTATTTTTTATAGTAAATTCACATTGATATTATATTATTATATAAAAATATAAATAAAACAAAAATAAAAGAATTTGTGTTACCAAATTAATCATTTTATCAAAATATGCACAAATATGAAAATATTGTTGAAGTATAGGTATCATATTGGATATTTTATTAATACATGTACAGTGTTAAACATTTTATCAAAATTATGGGTAACACGTTGAATATTTTAAATGTAACCACCTATTTGATCCAGGTGTTTAGTTGATTTTAGATATTAGGAAAAATATTGATATTTAAGAAAAAGCAACATTCGATGTATTGGTAACCGATTCTCCTCCTCCTCCTCCTCCTCCTCCTCCTCCTCCTCCTCCTCCTCCTCCTCCTCCTCCTCCTCCTCCTCCTCCTTCTTCTTCTTGAATACGTAACGTAGAAATCAAACAAACTCAATTAGCTTATTGCGAGTCGCTTGTCCTATCTTTTTGCAACATTCGATCGATAGCATTTAGAGGGTGATCAAAGGCTCAGACCCTAAATAAGAGAATTCATGCCATTTTTGTCAAATAATTCGCAATCATATTCCTTTTACGAGGTGTATAAACACACTTTAGCCTCTGTTTACGTAGTAATAAATCTACATTATGTAGTACCATTGGTGATTTTCTATCTATTTTTGCACCTTGAATAAGCATCGTCTGTAATACCTCAAATTTTGACTAGTGACTGAAATGTAACTTTTGAAAGTTTGAGGGTTAAAGTATAAATTTTATAAAAGTTTAGGGATCAAAAATGCAATTTTGAAAAGATATAGATTTTAACTCGTAAATGAACAGTTTGGCTTAAAACAAGGATTTTTGTGGAAATCCCATTTTCGGTATGTGATTTGTGTTAAAAGCTATAAAGCGATAAAGTTTAGTATTGAAATTAGATAATCGGATCGAACCATAATTTTATGAAAATTGAAGGATGTTAGAATATGTTTGGAAATATTATTTTCATATTTTAGATAAGAGAAATTTGGCTCAAGACATTGTAATTTTTTAGATTTGACTAAACAGTGGAATTTTAGTGACTAAAATATAATTTTCAAAAATTGTATTACTAGAAAACTGTGAAATTTCAGGGACCTAAGTGGTAAATTTCTCAAAAAGATTTTTTTATTTCATAAATGGATAGTTTACTCTTGAAAGTGGGGTTTTATTGAAATCATATTCTTAATATGAAATTGTGTTAAAAACTAGAAAGTGTTAAAGTCCGGTAAAAATTCAGTAAATCGGATCAAATAGGAATTTTTAGAAATTTTGAACAATGATAAATTAGGATTAAAAATATTATTTCCATATTTTAGAATGATGGAAAATAATATGAAGGATTTGATTTGAGAATTTATTTTCATGTTCAATTTAGATCGTTGGATGAAAAATGACAAGATTGAAATTTTTGGAAAATGGCATGGCCAAAGTTGTAAAGGGCAAAAAATTTTGTCCATCTTTGACTTTGGAAGATGATAAGGTTTATGTGGCTTGGTATTAAGGTAAATATCAAGTTTCATTAAGGTAAAATGGACATTTCTCATTAAATGAATATTTTATTCATTTAAGCTTAAATTAATACTAAATTAACATGAAATTAACCAAAATTTCATGAAACCAAGCCATTTTTCAACCAACATTTCGTGCTCCTTCATACCAAGGTAAGAGAAATTTAGTTTCCATTTTTCAGAAATTTCCTTTGGTTTTTGGATCATGCCGTGAAATAGAAAATTGTTCTATTCGAAAAACGCTATCATTTGGTACCATTATTGCTTGCTAATTTGGTTTGTGTTCAAAGATCCCAAATTCTATGGTTTATGTTCACATTAGGGTTTATAGAATTGATGAAGGATTTTGACGTTTTGGAGGTTGTAGAATCATTTCCAAGCATGATTGATGATTAAAATCACTTGTACATGGTTATATGAACAAATAAAGTTTTGGCCAAACCCTAACTTGATGGGAAATATGTGTTTTGATGAAATTAAGTTGGGGCTTTGATTGTAGAGATTTTATAAGGTTGAATCGAAGTTGATTTCATGCTTGAATCGAATAAAAATCGAGTAAAATCATGAAAACCCTAATTTTGAACATACAAAGCATTCGACCTTGACTATAGAGAATGAGAAAAAATTATGGGAAAATTATGTAGGGGTTGGAATTGATATAGGAAGTATTCTAAAAACCTTAGAAAAAATTAGGGACCATTATGTAATTTTTAAAAAGTTGGGGGACCAAATTGGTAATTTTAGAAAAGTTTTAGATTATTGTGTAATTGTTCAATAGTTGATGTAGCATGATGGAAATTAATGTTTGAGTGATAGAATTGAAGTTAGGATGTGAAATTGGATTATTTTGGAAAGCTAGTAAAAGTTGAAGTTTAAATTATAAATATGAAAAGGTTGAGAGTTTAAGTAAAAATGTTATGTGAAATTGGGATAAAAAGGAACTTGAGTGACCAATTAGAAGTATTAAGATCAACATTTATGTTGTGAAACGGAAATTATATAGAATGAGCATCAGAAAATTTGTTAGGAATTTATTTTCCAAAGTATGTCTATGTTAGTAAGATTCTAACATTTGGTTTGAATTTGTATATGTTTGGTAATGATGTTCATTTCGATTGAGGGCTTGAAATCAAGATCAAATATTATTAAAGTTAAGGAGAAGCTTAAGGATGAAATGGGAAATTCTAAGGACGATTGCAAGCTAAGGAGACCAGGTGAATGCATTTAACTTGAATTTATGTTATCGAAACAAACATTGACTTAAGATGAGCCAGTGTCGGAGTTACATTAAGAAGTGACTCCTAGTGCATGAGAAGTGTACTTCAAGCCTATATGTTCAATTGGTAAGATTATAGATTTAGTGAATAAGTTAAGGATGCAAGTTGGTGAAATTTGCTTAGATATTATGTTCTGAACAGAAAGTTTAGAAAATCACCAGAAATGCTAAAGAAATAATTGATTTAGATGGGTATAAAAAAAGATATGAATTTTTAATAAGTGATAGGTCAGAAAATAGGGCAGCAGATTCTGCCCGAAACAACTTATGTCAGTTAACTTTGAAAATTTGCTATAAATTGTACAATTAGAAATAAATGGAGTTCATTATATGGTTAGATTTGTATTCGATTCTAGTTTTTATTGGTACAAATAGAATAATTTTCAGTATATAAATTAATACAAAATAATATTTGTTTGAAGGAGTGCAAATTGCCAGAATATGGAATTTTTGATAAATTGTGTATTGAAAGTAGTGGAAGGCAAAGGATTTAAATCTAAAGCTTAATGAGGCTTATATTTTGATTAAAAATAAATAAAGTGTTAAAGTGAGTGTATTTGTTTATTTGATTATTATAATCGAGGATGACTTGCAATAAGTTAACCTCATTTTATTTTTAGTATGATTTATAAATTTTCAGTATGGAATATATCTATAAAAATTTTCATCAAGTTCTACGAATAAGTTTGGGTATGAACTACCCAAGTATGATATTTATGATGATGAATTCTAAATGTTTACAGTTATCATATGATTTTCAGTTATCAAATGATTACAA